ACTGTTATTGATGACACGGGTTAGTCTGAATCAATTGAAAGATTTTGATGTCCCGATGCCCAATCCTCATTTTTGAAATGCAGTTGTTACATCAGATTCAGAATTACTCATCCCCATCCCAGATCTATTATGATGTATTCTTAACTCAAAGCTTGTGTATAAATGAGCTGTTGGATCTACCCTAAAAGTGAGGAAAGTGATTTTTATTCAGGCTGTTTGAAGTATTTCCTTTTTTTTTTTTTTTTTTGGAAAAACACATGGGAGAAAAGATATCAGATTCAACACCCCAATCCTTCAAAGCTTAGGCCTGATCTACACTAAAAAGTTAGGTCAACTCAGCTACATCCCTCAGGGGTGTGAAAAATCCACACCCCTGAGTGACATAGTTAGGCCAGTATAACCCCCTGCATAGACAGCACTAGATAAACAGAAGAATTCATTTGTTGACGTAGCTACAGCCTCTCAGGGAGGTGGATTACCCCTCCCATAGGTGTAGGCAGAGTCTACACTAAAGAGCTGCAGCATTTCAAGTATAGGCAAGCCCTTAGAAATCAAGATCACAATCCATATGTGACCAACAAAACCAGAGACTAGACTATTCCTGGTATTTCTAAAATGGCCCTATGTCAGGGTTGAAGTACATTTGAGAGGCATGGTTGTTGTGAATTAGGCATAAAGTTAACACACTAGAGACCTGGGTTGTTGTAATCTTCATTTCAGATAGCCCTTTCTGCACACCTTAGGAAAGTTGCTTCTCTTGCCCTCCACGCCTCAGTTTTCCAAACTGTAAGATGGGGATAATGCTTACTCATTTTCATAAATCACTTTGAGATCCACAGATGAAAAAAAATGCTATAAAAGTCCAAATCATCATGTGTTCAGATAAGCACTACAGAAATGCCTAAAAATAAAATATTTGTGGGACATTGCAGGGACTAGAGACTGTCCTCTATTCAAAGAACAGGGACAACACAAGTAGCAATCTGGCATTTTTCACATGCATTAAATTCACTTGAAACAACAACATATGTCTGTGCATTTCTAAATCTGTTGGTGGTCTAGAGAAGGATTTAAATATCTATTTATCTCAAACATCTATTAGCCAGAGGTATATACTGAAATAAGGGTTGTACTTCACAGAAACACTCCTTTTATGTTCAATTCTAAGATTACCTACATGAAAATCTCCTCCAGAATGTCTACTTTTTGGGGAAATTCAGCACGCAAGTTGTATACCTCTTACTACAAATCAATATAACCTCATGAAACAACCAAGTCTTCAATACGTTGACAAATTCCTTTCTATGCATGCATATAGCAGATTAGTATACATCTTGGTTAGTTATTTGCCTTAAAATTTTAAGTCTTCAACACACTATCCTCTTATATTACAAGATGTACAAATATTCTGTCAATAAAGCTGCTAAAACAGTCAAGTAAGCGTTCAGGTTTTCAAGATTTTTCTTGTGGCTTTACCTTGTAGACTGAAGATGCTAAGCACATCATATATTCAGGCCACATCCTTGTCACTGTCCCTTCCCCATCTTATTCTCCCTCTTTCACCACAAAGAATTTTCAGTAACATAGGATTGTGCCTGTGCTGCTCCTTCACATAATATTTCACAAAAGGTGCCACCAGGCATAATACACAAGAGCTGTAGCATGCTCTTCCCCTGAGAAAGTCAGCTGCAAGGTAACTTTTTTTTTTTAAATGTAAAAAGTAACCCAGATCAAATAAATTAGCAAATACAGTAAGAAATCATGAAAGAAAATTACATTTCCATCCAATATATGGTATTAAGTTAAAGATACAGGGGTCAAACCAATTTACAAGGGAGATTCAGAGTATTCATTGATTTGCATAATCTGCTACAGATTTGATTGCCTATCAATGAAGTCTTCACTCTATAGTAGCTGAAGTATTATTTCACTTTGCCAAACTTCAAATCACAACTCAACATGAATTCATCAATGAGCACATTATGGCTAGATTACTCAGTGGTTAGCTATAAATAAACTGACCCTGATAATATGCATCTTATAGTACATTTCTGCTCATGACAAACAATGAAAACTCAATGAAGCTCACCAGAAAAATAATCATCACTTTCCAAGATAAAATACATACTATTCCTGTGTGTCATAATTCTTGGGTGGGAATGGAAGGAGGGCAAAAATATTCTTTTATGTAGCAGAGAAACAAATATTTGAACTAACACATTTACAAACAAGACTATAGAAGTGAATGATCTTTCCAGTGAAGCAGTTTTTCAGACTGGCACTGACACATTTTAGGGAATTTCAAAACCTACTCAAACACAGAGTTTGAAATTTCCAAATGGAAAGATTCTATGTAATGTTAGGTCTTCAGGAAATGTGGGAAGAAGAATGAGTAGCAATTTAATTGACCCACTTGAAGCCATCACATCTAGCTGGTTGACAAAGGTAAAAGTGAAGCAGCAAGAGAGGAACAAAAGCAATAACAGCAGAATTGTCAGTCAGAAGTGGAACAGTTCAGTGTATGGCTTTACAAATTATAGAAATGTAAGACAGAAAGGGTCCTCCAGAGATCATCTAGTACATCCCTCTATGCTGAGGAAGCACCACGTATACCTAGACCATACCTGACAGGTGTTTGCCCAACCCATTTTAAAAAACCTCCAGTGATGGGAATTCCAAAACCTCCGTTGGAAGCCTATTCCAGTTCTTAACTATCCTTACAGTTAGACAATTTTTCCTAGCATCTAACCTAAACCTCCCTTGTCGCAAATTAAGCCCATTGTTTCTTGTTTTAATTTCAGTGCACTTGGAGAGCAATTGATCACTGTCCTCTTTATAACAGCCCTTTACAGTTTAGAAGGCTTATCAGGTCCCTTCTTCTCAGTCCTTTCCTCATAGGTCAGGTTTTCTAAACCTTTTATCATTTTTGTTGCTTTTCTCTGGACTCTCTCCAATTTGTCCACATCTTTCTTGATGTGTAGCACCCAAAACTGGACGCAGAACTCAAAGCGAGACTTCTCCAGTGTTGAGCAGATCAGGACAGTTACCTCCCTTGTATTATACAACACTCCTGTTAATATACTCAGAATGATATTACCCTTTTTAGCAACAGTCTCAGATTGTACAACTGATATTCAATTTGTGATCTACTATACTCCCAGATCCTTTTCAGTGTTACCACCACCTACTCAGTTATTCCCCATTTGAAGTTGTGCATTTGATTTTCTTCTTCTACTTTTCACTTATCATTAATGAATTTCATCTTGTTGATTTCAGAACAATTTTTCAATTTGTCAATGTCATTTTGAATTCTAATCCTATCCCCCAAAGTACTAGCAATCCCTCCCACTGGGGAAGTCATAAGAGAAAAAAGTGGCAGCCCACGAACAAGACTGTTACATAAGTCTTGACTGCTTGGAAGAGGCCACTGCCACTTGAAAGAGATGGACTAGCATTCAGTTCATGAAGGAAGAGAGCTATTGGCAACAGAGAGAAGACGACGTAGAAGTTGAAAAACTGGGGCACCTTAAAAGAAAAAGACAGGCCCTTTACCTGACAAAAGGGTTGGAGGAAGGAAAGATTACTCCTTAGGGAATTCTGTGCAAATAAATAAATAAATAAATAAATCTACACACTATTTTAAAATTCTGCAAATTTTATTAGTCAATAAATAAACGTGGAGGCTTCACCATGGCAGTGGGGAGCACAGGCCACCTGCTGCACTGAGCTCGGAGATCACCCTGCAGCTGCCACTGCACCTCTCCCCCACACTGACATGGATTCAGTGATGAGGCTGCACCGGACCCTGATACGGCACGAGGGCCAGACCTGCCCCAGAAATACCCTGGAGCCTTGCCCTTCCGCACCAGGTATGGACAGGCAGGCTCAGCCCAGCAGGGTCCAAGTGGGACGGGCTCTTTGGGGGGGGGGGGGGGGGGAATCCAGGTGTGGGGTGAGAGGGTTCTTGGTGGGGCAATCTGGGTGTGGGCAGCTCAGTGGGGGGTTCAGGTGCAGTGGGGATGTGGGTGCACAAGGGCTCACTGGGAGGTTCCAGGCGCAGAGGCACGGGACTCTGCAGGAGGGTTCAAGTTAAGGTGGTTGGGGCTCAGCAGGGAGGGTCTGGGTGTGCAAGGGAATGGGGCTTGGCATGGGAGGTCTGGGTGTGGGGGGGCCTGAATGCTGAGGGAATGGAGGTCTGGGTGCAGCGGGCTAAGACTCAGTGTGGTGGGGGTCTGGGTGTAGGGGGCTCATTAGGGTGGTCCAAGTGCAGAGGGGGTGGGTCTCTTCAGGGTGAGGGTTCTAGTGCAGAGGGTGGGCCTGGTGCAGAGGGGTGCGTTCAAGGGGGTTCCGGATGCAGGGGGTTGGGGGCTCAGCAGACATGGGAGCAGGAAGCAAGGTGTGAATGTGTGCAGAGCTTTCTGTAGCCAAGTAGATTTCAGGGGGTAGGTCTCACCTGGCCCCGCCTTGAAAGAGAAGAGCAAGTCCAGTCCTCCCTTGTCCCAGCCCAGTCAGGACTAGTAGCTGAGCCCAGCACAGGGTAGAAGCCACTCCAGGGACCCAAAACAACACGCCCATGCAGTTGGGGAGGGGTGCTTCCCTATGCTTCTACATCAGAAAGTCATTTTTCTGCAGGGAAACAAGGAAATCTGTGGGGGACTTGAACTTTGCACGCAGAATTCCCTCAGGAGTAAAAGGTGCATGCCTACAGTAGCTGACAGACAGAGGTAGCCAGTGGAGGAAAAAAAGGAGCTGCTGGTAGTAGAAAGTAAGTCATCAAGGACCAGCCATAGTTGATTTTATTTTGAGTAATTCAAAGGCACTTTCCAAAAGTTGTATGCAGCTTTGTAAAACATCTTTCCTGTCAAAAGAGTCCTAATGGTTTCCAAAAAACCAAACCTCTGCCATCTAAGTTATACCAATGTAGGAAAGGTTATAAATACTCTTGAAAAGTCTTCCCAATTATTCTCACAAAGACGACTGCATGCTGTAGCAATAATTACCTCATGTTCTTGGTTCTCTTGTCCATCTTTACCACTTTTTCCACTTTTGCCCAATTTTGCAGGTTCCTGAAAATTAAAGAGATTTATAAATTTTCCCAGCTTCAAGCTTAATTTCAAACAGAATCAAATATGCTTTCACTCAAGTAACTGATTGTCCAGAGAACTACATAAAAATATGCACTACAGAAGGCTCATAAATTTAACTATTATACTATTACAATTTTAGTATCAGAAATTCCACAAATACTTAACACTTTTCACCTTCAAAATGCTTTAGAAACATTACTTATTTCTCACAACATACCAATAAGCAATTTACATCAATGAATCTTATATCCATTTATATCTAATAAAACAGAGGCAAAGAGTGCAAATGGTATGCACAAGGCAACAGAGAATCAGCCTTCGTTTACCCTCGGTTTTTAGCCCCTAGTGTAACTTTGAAGCCAGGATAAGCTGTTCCAGTGCAAGTCACGGTTTATACTGCTCAACCATGTCTATATTGGTGTTTGCATCTGTGTAGCTACAACAGCGGCTAAAACCCCAGTGTTAAAGCTAGGTCTGTAACCCAAGAGTTTCTCCTCGCTTCGAATGCTGCACTTAGACTACATCCAGCCCCTATTTCTCTCACTACAGGATAAAGGAAACGAAAGAAATACAAACATTAACATAGTCTACAACTTTTTTGGAGCAGTGGGGCATCTTTATTTTAATGCACAAAAATCAATACATTCATAAGACACAGACAAATCCATGAGCAACTGATTTTAAACTGATGTGGAAATGCTAAAAGACTGCCTGAAATCAAAGGAATAGAGGGCTATCTAGTGGAACAGGCACAGAATGGGAGTCAGGAGCTCTGGGTTCCATTCCTGGCTTTGAATATCAAGGGTAGCCGAGTTAGTCTGTATCCACAAAAACAACAAGGAGTCCGGTGGCACCTTAAAGACTAACATTTATTTGGGCATAAGTTTTCGTGGGTAAAAAACCTTACTTCTTCAGATGCAACTCCTGGCTTTAACACCAACTCCCTCTAAGGGTTTTCTACCTGTACATGGCCCTGATCTTAGTATCTGGGCACCTTCCATGTTAAAAAAAAAAAAAAAAAAATAGTGAAATCCCCAGTGGACTTCATGGAATCTCTGGCACTTCTTCCTTTTTTGAGGTAAAACTCTGTTCAGGCCACTCTGTGGCCTAGAGCAATCACTACTTCTCTGCCTCAGTTGCCCTGTTTGTAAAATGGGACCAATGTTACCACACTGGGTGGGGTAAGGATTGCAAATCTCAAGCAATGCTTGCAAAGTGTTTTTGGATGGTTCTATGAACATAGCTTCAAGCAGCACAGTATTCAGTAATAAAGCTACCCAGGAAAGTGCCGTAGATGCCAACCTTAAAAATAGCCTCCCCCAGAGACCTGCCCCCCTATAAAAATACTCCCTCCCACACAAAGTAGAGATACCCACCTTGCCTCAAATTAAGAGATCGCCTCTAACAACTCACTCCTCCTACATACACCCGATAAAACAGCCACCCCGTACCCGAGCAATTGCCCCTTCTCGCCCCCAAGAAATCCCCTCCTCCGCGAACCCCTGGATCTCTCTGGTGCTGCTGAACCCCGGTCTCCCCCCGAGGTCGGATGGGGGCGAATCTGGCCCCAGAAATTGGGTGAGGAGACGCAGCATCGCCGGGGCTAGGCCCACCGCCCACCCGCAGGGAGCGCCCCCTCCCACGCCGCCTCACCGGCTCCCCATCCCCGCCCCCTCCCACGGGGAGCACCCCGGAGTCCCTCGGCAGCCTCCGCCCGGACCGACCCGCCCCCGCCTCAGCCCTTGTCCCTCTCTTCCCTCCACCGCCAGGACCTGCCCAGCTCCCCCCGGAGCTCGCCACCCCTCAGCGGCTCTGCCTCCGGGCCCCTCTCCCGCAGGGGCCTGCTCCCCTGGCCCGCCCCGCGAGGAGCTCCCCGGGCCTCCAGCGCCCCCGGCCGGCCTGACTCACCTTCTCCTTCTTGTTTTTATTCGGCATGGCCGGTCGGTTGGGCGCCCGGGCCGGAGCGGCGCGGCGCAGCGCAGCCTCCTGGGGTCCCCGCTCGGAATCCTCGCTGCGACTCCTCCGCCCCACTCAGGCTCTTCCCCTTCTCCGGCTCCCAGCGGCGGCAGCCCTGCCTCCGCCCGGCCGAGCCGGGACGCCGCTTCGCCATTGGCTGGCCCCCGTCACGTGGGCTCAACGTTTCCCCTCCTCCCCTCTGTGAGCTAGGGGGCGGGGCTGTCTCCATCCCAGCGCACAGCGGCGGCTTGGGGGAGTTGGTAGCGGCTGGAGAGCGGCCTCCTGGCAGTGCTGCCCCGCCGGCCTCCTCCCTGGGGCTCGCGCCCCGCCGCTAGAGCCGCTCTTCCCCCCCTCCCGCGGTTCAGACTGGCCCAGGCAGAACCGGCCCCCCGCCCCCGACCGAAGCAGAGTCGTTTCCCCGGCTCAGCCAGGCTGGGGGGAGAGCCGCCCACTCTGACTGAGCCAGCCTTACCTAGCCCCCCCCTCCGGCAGAGCCGCCTCCCTGGGTGGTGGCATGGGCGCAGTTTTTTGGCTTGTATCTTGACTTCTGCAGAAGTCGGTCTAAGACCCGTTTCCCTATTGATCATAATAGAGGCTGAAGGTGCCCAGCATCTCTTGGGCTTAGGTACCCCGTCCCCAGCATGTGAACACAATTAACTGATAAGGAGAAGGTGCACTCTGCCTGGGCATCCTGCTATTTTAAATGTATTATCCTTTTTCTTTCAGGGAAGTTTTCAAGTTTAGTGAAACATACATTATTCCGCTAGGCCCACCTCCCTGCAAAGATTATAATTTGAAAACAGGAGCTACTTTTTAATCCATCCATGCCAAATATAAAAAAGCATCAGAACAACCCTGAACAAATGAACATCTTTTCTCTTTCGTGCTTATCTTAAAATTATTGTTTGTATTACTGTAGTGCCTAGGAGTCCTGCTCAAGGACCAGACTTAATTGTGTGATTTGCTGTAAAATTACAGAACAAAACGATGATTCCTGCCCCAAGGAGCTTACAATTTAGGCATAAAACAAGAGACAACAGTCACAGGGAGTACAAGAAAACAATGAACCATAGTGATCAGCCTGATATGCAGTGGTCTCAGCACACTAGTCTAGTTGTTGTCAATTTTTTTTGGTGGGCCTTATAGAAAAAGAGTTTGAAGGACAGTTTTGAAGGAGGATTCTGTGTTAGCTTTGCGAACATTTATGGAAACCTCCTCCCACTCATGTGGGGCAGCATGGGAGAAAGTACCAAGGTGTTTGAGAATCTAACAAGTAGCAAACAGAAGAGGGAGGCAAAGAGAGGAACAGTGCTAAGAAAAGGATTTTTGCAGCAGAATACTGAATGGATATGAGCCGAGTAAGGAAACATTTGTCAAGGCCAGCTGTTGCAGTAGTCAAGATGCAAGAAGAAAGCCTGAACAAGAGTTTCAGCTGTGTGGATGAATGGGAAAGATAGGTGTTAAAAACATCCAACTAGAATTTTGTCAAATGTAATTTTGGGTCAAAAGGACCTTTCAGCTGAGAAAAAGCAGAAGAAAATTTAACCCACAGAGTAATGTTGTCAGGACATTAAGTGTCTGAAAACTAAGAATGAAAGTACTTATTTATCTGTAATTATAGCACTGTTATAAAAAGTTGGTAAAATGTGCTAGATGCTTAGAAGCCAGTGGCCAGTATAGAAGGTAAAAAGGCCTTTTCCCACTCCCAAACAGTGAGTACCACAGGCAACACTGGTGAGAAGCTCAGACCTCAGTTCTAGTTGCTGGGATTCCCAATAGTGAGTTATTTCACATTTTGTAGAGTGCAATTTCAGAAAGATGGCACTGCATCTGCTAAAATTTGGAAGGTTGTCTTTGTGACCACCAGGCTAGAAACTTTTATTTTGTGAAAAGTCTCATCTTCCCTCCTATCCCACTTGTTATGGAAAGCATCTCAGTCACCAGTAAAAGTTAAGTGACTGGATTTTTCCAGATCTGGTATAGTATATGCAATAATCAGTGGGCTGAGGTGGTTGATAAAAGATACAATTCTATTTGTTCTAGTGACTTCAAAACTGTGAGATCAAACAAGTGATTTATATATTCACCAATAACATTAAAATTAAAATATTTCCAATTGTACTATTAAATCACAAGTATTGTGTTATCAGATGGGAGTGACTATGCAAAAAAGGTGATGTAATGTTAATATGAATATGACTATACTAGTATAGCTGTGTTAATGTCTGAGCATGCCCAGTATAAACTAGATGTGTCTGGAAGCCAGAACAGATTACTGAATTAGGAGTTGCTGCAGTTAACTGTTGTGCCTTCTCTCCAATATGCCTTCTGAATGCTTCCTAAACACCACAGCCAATATTTTTTTTTTAGAATATATGGATTGAACAGTTTAAACTTGCAAAACATTTAAAGCATCAAAATATCTAGCTGTTATAAACCAATTAAATTGTTTAAGAATGGGTTGATATTGGACCAAAATGTCCAGTATGCCACTGAAGGAAGCAAGTTTATTCATCTAGTTCTGTTCATCTTTATTGGGCATTCCTTTATTTTAAAAAAATCCCTTTTCTTAGAGTTTGTCTACCCCCAGAAGTTTAACTGGTTTAAATAAAGGTGTGATGTTAAACTGATGCAAGAGTGCATGCAAAAAGATAGCAGCACTCCACCCACAGGACAAAGAGTAGAGGATCTAGTGAATAATTATCATTGTATGCTAGCTTCAGCTATCAACACAGTGGCCCCCAAACAGACCATTCCCTCCTGTCATCCACACACATCTCCTTGGATTTCTATCACCCTGTGCCAGACGAAGAAAGAGTCAAAAACTTAAGCACCAATGCTAGAAAATAAAGGCTGAAACAGATACTTTGAACAAAGAATTTCTCCAAGCCTATGCCTCAGATGAAGCTGCCAAATCCTGCCCCTAAGAAGTGATTAAGGGTGCTAAACCACTTTATCAATCGTGAGTGCCTACAGTCCACAATAAAACCCAGCACCACACACTGCAAAGAATTAGCATCCTACTTTGCCAAAAAGATTTCACACTTTTGGGAAACCTTCTCAAACAGCATGGATTTTCTACCTCTTTACAAATTACAGTTCAATAATTGTTTGGGTGTATCCTTTAAACTAGTATCTGGGTACCAACTCCCACTGAATCCTATTTATATCCATTCTCTTGAGTAAGGCTCTGTCCTGCTGACATGGTCTGCTGTGCTGTAAAGGTTAACCACTAATTTATTCAGAGCTATATACAAATCAAATTCTCCTAGAGGAAATCAACAGCCTAATTTCAGAACTGCACATATTTACAAAACATAATATAGCAGTGCAACTGGATTGTTATGAATGACTAGATAGATTCATAGATTTTAAGGCCAGAAGGAACCATTGTGATCATCTAGCCTGACCTCTTGCATAACATAGAACTTCCTTGTATTAATTCCTCCTTAAAGTTCAATAGTTGCACTTGAACTACAGCATATCTTTTAGAAAAACATCCAGTCTGGATTTTAAAATTTTCACTCATGGAGAATCCACCATACCCTTGTTAAGTTGTTCCAATGATTAATTTTCCTTCATTGTTAATCATTTTTCTTATTTCTAGTCTGAATTTGTCTAGCTTCAACATCTAGCCATTGGTTCTTGTTATATTTTTGTCTACTACACTGAAGAGCCCTTATTTATACAATTTCTACTTCACATATAGGTACTTATAGCCTGCGATCAAGTCACTCCTTAACCTTCTCTTGGGTAAGCTAAATAGATTGAGCTCCTTAAGTCTTTTACTATAAGGCATGTTTTCCAATCCTTTAGTCATTCTCATGGCTCTTCTCTGAACCCTCTCCAATTTATCAACATCCTTCTTGAAGTGTGTGGGCACCAACTTTCCCCAGTGCCGATGGGAGCTTGCGCCCCCCCGGCCCTGCCCTGACTCCATCCTTTCCCCATCCCTGCCCCTGCCCCACCCCCATTCCAACCCCTTCCCCAAATTCTCCGCCCCCTCCCTGCCCCTATTGGACCCCTTCCCCAAATCCACGCCCCGGCCCCGGCCCCACCTCTTCCTCGAGCACGCCGTGTTCCCCCTCCTCCCCCTCCCTCCCTCCCAGCCGCGCGAAACAGCTGTTTTGCGGCACAAGCACTGGGAGCTAGGGGGAAAAAGCGGGCACGCGGTGCGCTCAGGGGAGGAGGTGGAGTGAAGGGGGGGGCGGGGAGCTGCCAGTGGGTGCTGAGCACCCCATGGGTGCTCCAGCCCCGGAGTACACACGGAGTTGGCGCCTATGAATGTGTATACCAGAACTGAACATAATATTCCAGTAGCAGTCATACCAGTGCCAAATACAGAAGTACTATAACCTTCCTATTTCTACTCAATATTCCCCTGTTTACTCATCCAAGGATTGCATAAGCCTTCTTGACCACAGCATTGTACTAGCAGCTCATATTCAACTGATTATCCACCATGAACCCTATGTCTTTTTCAGAATCACTGCTTCCCAGGATAGAGTCTCCCGTCCTGTAAGTATGGCCTACATTCTTTGTTCCTAGCTGTATGACCTGACATTTAGCCATATTGAAATGTATATTGTTTGCATGCACTCATCTTACTAAGTGATCCAGATTGCTCTGTTTCAGTGACCTGTCCTTTTCATTATTTACTACTCCCCCAATGTTTATGTCATCTACAAACTAATTTTATGTTTTCTTTACGGTCACTGATAAAAATGTTAAATAGTATAGAACCAAAAACTGATCTCTGAGGAACCCCACTAGAAGCACACCAACCCAATGACGATATTCTATTTACAGTTACATTTTGAGGCCTATCAGTTAGCCAGCTTTTAATGCAATTTAGTATGTGCCATGTTAATTTTATATCTTTCTAGTTTTTTAATCAAGAAGTTGTGCAGTACCAAGTTAAATGCCTCACTGGAGTCTAAGTATATTTCATTAACACTATTCACTTCATCAACCAAACTGTAATCTCTTAAAAAAAAGATACCAAGTTAGTGTGACAGGATCTATTTTTCATAAGTCCACATTGATTGTCATTAATTATATTATCTTCCTTTAATTTTTTATTCATCGAATCTCTTAGCTGCTGCTCTGTTATCTTGCC